ATAATCTTCTGAAGGTTGTGAGAAAACATTTTCTTTAAATTACTGAAGCTTTGCTAATATAACGACCGAAATCCGATGGTTATATTGAGTAAGTGTTAGCTGGTTTCACCTAATATAGGTTTCGGCACACGATATATAACGCTAAATACTTCATTAACATCTGTGTAATGCTCTATGTATACTAAGTATGATACGATGGAACTTCTCGCCACTTTCACCCCAACGTTTCCTAACCAAACCGGTAAATGTTCTCTTGTCCGGAGATGCACCTGCTGAATAGTAGGCCCTATTTATCTTGCTCCACAGGAACCGTTAAATTGATATACACAAGACGAACAGCTAAGATTAGGTAGGCTAAGTATTAGTCGAATGCTAAAAGATATGTAAAAACGGCCTGTCTAAAACTTCCTATCAACTGCTTTAACTAGATGTCGTGATTCGATGTCACTTGAAATGCAATCGCAGAAGTAAGGGCTTCTTTCCCACCGTTATCAATTCTTGAGTTATTCACCGAAGAGTACATGACTGTTTTCTTTCTAAGAACTAGCATAAAATATCTCAATCTGTGTGCTTCAAGAAAGTATACTGAACCATATTCCCTACTATGCCTTACTATAGGTTGAACACATGGCTAGTCAAGCGTTTTCAAATAGTATTTCTCTCATACTGGTTCGAATTCTTCTTCTAAGAAAATTATTTTATGTTATTATACTGGCCTATTTAATTCCTGGTTTTTCATACTTATTGAACAAAATTGATTAGATCCGGTTAGCATTTCAGTTATTCTTACGGATTCTTCGACAGTCCAAGGTGATTTATAGTAATTTTATTAGTTTGATGGTGACCAGTTCTCAAGTCTATTCTGTGTTATTCGCTACTCTAGAAACCAGCTAAGCAGTTTAGTGGAGATATTCTGGAGTATGAAATGATAGTTCTTGGGGTTTTTCCTCATTAGGGAACATCATTAGAGGGGTAACAGTAAATACAGACTGTAAATCTTAAACAGTACAACGTGTGAATTCTGGATTCTGTTGTCAACCGCCACCAATCCTTTACCAATATCTATACTTATTGTAAGCCACATCATCCTGGAGAGACTTAAAAACGCTCTCGATTCAAAATTACAACCGGAACAGGCTGGTTGGCTGCCTTCAGGAAAAACAACTCATTTACGGATCAAATCGCAACGCTGCGCTACACATCATCATAGAACAGAGCAATCAACTCAACTCAACCTCAACTTCATCCACTTCGGAAAGGTCTTCGACAGCGTCGACCGAGAAGTAATTTGGCAGGTGCTTCAAGACTACGGTTTTAGTGCCACAAATCTTTAACAACAATCTCATTCAACAGCTATATGAAGATGCTACATGCCGAGTGGTTCAAAATGAAAAGCTCAGTGACGCCTTTGAAGTAAATACAGTGAATTGAGACAAGTCTGCCACCGACTACCAACGGTGATCTTTCTGATTGTGGTCGACTGGACAGGACTCGATGATGCAACAAACTGTGAGGAGCGAGAAAAGGGGTACATGCTGTTTGACCGATGAAAAGACCCCAGAGGAAGATTTGGATTTCGCCGCTGATGATGATTTATGTCTAATGTCTTGTTATACAAACTCGAAGATCTACAGGCGAAAACCAACAAGTTGACAGAAGAGATGAGGCAGCGAAGACTGGACATAAAGTGAATGTAGAGAAGACAGGGGTGATGAAGATACACAACCAACAACAACAAGCACCAATCATCATGAACGGAATAAATCTAAAGGAAGTTATCTCTTTCGCCCACCTGGTCAGCGTCGTCTCAACTGCAGGCAGCGCAGATGTGGATGTCAAAGTCAGGATCGGAGAAGCAAAACAGGCCTTCATTAATCTGAAATCAGTGTGGAGACCTACTGTACTCCACTGCACTCAGCATAAAGAAAAGGACCCGGGTTTTCAACAATAACGTCAGACAGTCAATGTTTCTATGTGATGGTTGGGAGACTTGGCGAGTTACGAAAAGCATTTCCGACAAACTGAAGACGTACATCAACAGCTGCCGCCTACGCTCACTCGATACTGACACTCAAGATCAGATGGCCAGAAGGAATAAGCAACAAGGAACTCACTGTGACAACGAACCAACCAAGAACCCATAGCCTATCGCAGAAAAAAGTGATGTATTGGATCGGACATACGGTGAGAAGGAAGACCGCTTGGGGACATCCCGCACCAGGCCCTTGAGTTGAATCGATGGGTTGGGCGTCCGAGGGTGACATGAAGGAGATCGTGTGAGGAGGAAATGAAAGCTTCTGGGCAGTCGTCGAGTCAGGTTAAGAAAACTACCGAGAAGAGAGTGAAACGATGACATGCTACGAAAGCTCAGTGTTCCACTAGGAACCCAAGGGACAAATAATAAAGTAGTTCTTATTGTAAAATTGTATAAAAAGATAAAAACAAGTACGCACTTTGTTTCGAGGGGATGGCTTTACTTTCTGTTTATGTTTCCATTCTGTTTACACTGAAATCACAATAAATGCTGAGCTGACAACTTTTTTCACCCTTCTTCTATTAAATTTGTTTCAACTGGATTAAATTTATCATTCAAACTATTAACTGTTTCAAGCATTAGTTTCCTTTCTGTTTTATACAATGGAAATTGTTGCAAAATAATACCTATGCCTTTGAAAACTATTAATTTCCCAAAAGGGGAATAAACTTTGTGATAAATATTATTCCTTCAAAGTACCTTTCGTTTGTTTATTCGACTAATTGAATTAGCTTTCTTTTTTGACAGAATAATGCAAATGACATAAATGGAATTGATCATTGAATTCAAAAGTGGGATTCGACCAAGTGACCTTGAATTTGTCATTTGGTTGGGATAACCGATGACCTACTGGATACAACAGCTACATTGTAAATTTTGTATATTGAGTGATAATTCTCCTCTAATTAATTGAATAATTAGTTAATTAATTAGAAATGTGTTTGACTAGTTTACTGAAATCGACAAACGTTGACAATTATGACTGAACCCAAAGGACGCTACCTGGTTCGAAGTTGAAGTAGGTGTATATAGAAGAGAGATGTGCCACACATCTATTAGTACAGCGCAAAAATCAAGTTTAATGGTGGGTTTCCTGATAACCTGATTACAACTTATCTGGTAACCAGATTCATTTTATACGAAGAAGTAACAAGTCATTCATACTGTTTTTGATGTAAAAATGGAATACAGTGATCACGTAGGACTGCAACTGCGAAACAGTTGTAGACATTTCTGGTGCACCAGTAGTCGTCCTATCGTTCATGTCAAATGAGGCAGCGCGGATATCTGAAAATCTAAACAACTGATTGAATATAGTTTTCTGATGTCAGTAATATATGACTTTCGGTTCCTGCAGGATACGCCAGGTTCAGTTGATGTATATTCAAAGACATCAGACTGTTTTATGTCTGATGAAACTCTTGTAACAGAAAGGAAAAGAGACTGTTTACAACAAATTTGTATTGCTCTAGAAAATGCTGTTTATAAACACTAGTCTTGAGCTGTTTGCTAAGCCAATTCAGCCGCTTTTTAGCTAGAACCAAACACCATTATTCCTAATCGTAGCAGATATATTTATGGATAGTTGAGAAAACATGACTTTGTGAAAGTATAATCCATCACCTGAGATATGATGGTGATATGTGGATGACACATTCATCCGGTTGAAATCGGAACATCAACACTTTCCTCACACACATATAACATCAATAGTAGAGGGAATCCAATTCAATTTCGAGGAGGAAAATAAACAAGGAGAATTAGCTATGTTGAGTGAGGGACAGAGTGTGGTTTGGATACTGACATGTAGAGGAGACCGACACATTCCAACAGGTATCTAGACTTCAAGTCATCTCATCCAACGTCAATGTTAAGACAGATTTAGTCAAATGTCTATATATCTAGAGAAGTGACTAGTCAGTGCAAGGACTCAAACAAGGAATTGAAAGACATAATTAATATTTATCCTCCATAGCTTACCAATGAATCCATACAAACACACAGGAAACGGAGCCATAACAATAACAATAAGATGAGTAGAACTGATAACAACAACATGAGTATGAGGGAGTTCACAGACAACATTGTGTAATCCTATGAGGTGGGAACATGCGAAACTGTATGTATGTAGGATTTTCAACAAGGTTGGAATTATGGTAGTATTCAAACGTACAAATTCACTCAGAGATAAGATTTGTCAGCTGGCCTAAATATCCGATTGATTCAATTCACCAAAATAATCTAAACTACCAACTCCCATGGAATGATTGTGAGGTCAAGTAAATCGGTGGAGTTAGCTGTTCGGGATGAGTTAGAATAGTGGAACATAGGAATTCAGCTGAATATAGAATGAAGGAGGTGAATAAGATGAATACTGTAGAAAAGTACTCGGTTATTGTAATGCATGTATTGACACACAATCACATAATAGAGTGAGATAAAATGCGTATACAGTACTTAAGTCGAATATGATTAGGTGGACAGAGGGAGAGAGAGAGACTGATTACTGAATCTTTGTTCATCGAATCAACACGGAACACATGTGGTAGGAATGCGAGAAGACTAGTACCAGACAGAGAAATGGTAAATTTTACAATAACGAATGAGATTAACTAATATGAGGTGGTTGGATTACGAACATCAAATGTTGAAATTTGTGTGGTTACATTGATATGATTATGAACAATACTACTGTATTACTGTGTGTTATAAATCAAATAAACAAATCTCATTTGGAATTAAATCTTACCATAGTGCTGAACTCTTCCGCTTATATTAGTAAACCAGTAGGGTGAACACTGACTCTGTCTATTCATATCTCCTTTACTCAAATTATACACTTAAGCTTTAATGTCAACGTTTCTTGTCTCCAACTCGAGATGTACTACTTAATATCTTTATTTAAAACAGAGGTAACTGTTACTAACATAAAGTTTTAAATACTTCTTACTTAATTACGACTTACCTTGTGTTGGAATGATAAACATATTTGTGAATATGATGAATACTAGAATTGTACACATCCAATTCTGCATTGATAACTGATTGAGTTGCAATATACAAAGAGAAAAAATGGAAACACTAAAGGAGAATAATCCAAGCTCAGACGATGCTGAATGGTAGTTGATTGTGATAATGACAGAAATGTTCAGTGTATAGTATGTATAAATTTCAACTGTTAACACTGATTTGTTAAATTATGAGGAACCAATTAAAAATTAGTAGAAAAAGCCATAACACAATTGCTAAATAATATGATTATATGGTTACAGTCCTCATTATCGAATTTCAAATGCTTTTTTAAACTTAATTTTTATATTGTTAATGTTTCAAGTTAGGCTATTTACGCATCTATGTCAGCATATTTTAGGCATCATAAGACTATCAAGATACGCTGAATTCCTATTGGTTAATCTACTGTGAAGGTTGTGTTTGTATATGTGGAGACTTTAGTAGGCTGTAATCTGACTCATGCAACATTTGTTAACAGTCAGTAGGTGTTTAGAAATATGACTCATTAGACTTAAAATAAAGAGCACTTTTCATTCGAAAGCTGGCTATTCTCTTTTGTTGTTGTTCTTTTAACGCTGAAAACATAATCATGGAAAAATTCAATGGCTGGATTCGCCTTATTTGTTGTTCACCGTGTAAAACTATTAAGCTATAGAGAAAGCAAGCATACTTATTCTCAGATTATGCAAATGTAACAGTCAAACAAGCAACGTTGAATACATTGGACATTACCAGAGTAAAGTAACAAAATTTCTTTGGAAATGACTGACTGAATGCTGAAAATTTAAGAAATATGAAGATAATGATTAACTTGTTGCATATACATGAAAGCATACACTGTAAATTCGAATTTCTTTATTCGATGAAAATAGGTAGTACTTTATAATAGAGAACGTAACGATGCGCATAAAGGTAGAATTTATAACTTGCTTGCCAATCAAATCTTCACATTTTCAAGTTAGTCTTCATCATGACATGAGATCAGTTGAAGAAACATTGGAAACCTGTGTGCAATGGACAGGTGATTCTTCCTGGTATGGGACTTCTCAGAAATTTTTCTACGGATACCTTATTTGCTCCACGTCTTGACAGTTGCAAAACTACTCAGCTGTGAAAAATTTCAACGTGGAATTCGCAAATCATTTACAGACTGATCATTCTATTTTAGGCATACTGGTCTATGCAAGTCATTTAGCCAGATTCAAGTAATCTGAACTAATTCGGCTCTATGCGTTGAATTTGTCCGGGCACTTTGCTGATGAGCTCGGCCTTAAAAGAGTGAAACCACAGCCGTTGTTTAGACCATTGGCAAACTTTAGTTTGTTGAAGGCAATCGGCAGGAAGCTCTGCTCTACCTAGATTTTGTGCTTGTTGGCACTCATCAGCAAGACATATCTTCAACCTCGACAGAACTGATATCCCGCCTTAGATTCGAACCTGCGTCACCCAGTGTTATAGTCAGCAACATTACCACTGAGTTATTTGGGACTCCAGTATCAAATTTTCCTTTCTACCAAAAGAAGCTTAATTTGGTCTTAGAGGTTTGTTGGGATTTATTAATTTCCGGTTAGCATTTCTCACAGACTGATATCAGTCACAGAACCATTGAAAACCTGAGTGTATTCGACAGCAGTCCCCTCCTAGTGTGGCACTCCTCAGCAGTGCCCACCGATGACTTCCCCAGGGATCGGACCCAGTACCTGGACGTTTTGTGGAGAGCACTGGATTGAAACCCATTGGTTCACATTTTCTTAACATGACTACTATCCAATGCCGTCGTTGAGTACCTGTACTCATTTGGTTTGCTCTACCACAATATCACTAACTGATAAATGTATGAAAATGTTCACTGTTTGATTCTGGCCCAGTGGCTCAATGGTAACGTAATTGTTACGGAACCTGGAGTTTCTGTTCTCGATGTCCGATGGGGTCTTGGGTGTGCACTGCTGAAGAGTCCCATACCAGGTAGAAACAGCTGTCCAGTACTCCCAGGTTTTCAATGTTTCGGGAACTGATATCAATTCATGACGAATACCGACTTGAAAACAAATTGTTTTCGATGCTAGATGTATGCCGGTAATGAATTTGTTGACGCTTATCAGTAAGTAATGTCTACATCATTTGAATGTAAACGATTTCATGCTTACCGAATTCTGCTGGTCACTTTGAACTGTGACCATTAGGCTAGGAGAATTACCATGGCGATGCACTTTGATAAGCATTCTCTGGATTCCGACAATCGGCAGGAAACCCAGCACTCAGGTTGTTTGCTTGTTGGCACTAGTCAGCGAGGCGTATCTGCAACATTGAAGATACCTATCAGAATACTCTCGTTTGAAATGTTTGTATTCAATGAATAACACGTTAAGTGGAATATTTTGTCATGTTGTTGTCAAAGAGAAGATTTCTTGGTCTACAATATGCTTAGTTAGAAAACTTCAAAATTCTAGTTTGAGATTAATGACTCTAGTAAGCTAAGCTAAGGCAGTTCCTACAATCTGCTTGATTTCTTTCAGGATGCTTTTCTGTAGTAGACTGATAGCTTGGTTGATTCACAGTAGAAATTTTACTATTTATCATCAACTGTAGGAGTAAATGTCGACAATCATGGATAAGGAGTTGACAAAATAATTCATACGAAACAGTGAACAGAAGTACTTTTGGTTTTTACCAGCATTCAGGTCGAAGTCTAACAGAATGATATTTCTGAATAGAACCGGGTTTACACACACTCAATAAAACGAAGTCATCTATGATCGATTGGAAAATAATTTACTCCCAACCAAATGAAAGCGGTAACTTCTCATCAAGACTGTCATTCTTATGAACATTGAATTTACTTTAAGATTATGAATACTGTTCACTTCCTGTAAACTATCCAACTTATTTTTATATATGATGAATGTATAATAAAATGTTTTTGACCAGCTTCTTTAAAGAACCTAGATGCCTGTCATAAAATCATTCACATACATGGTCAACAGTTAGTTACTTAGCATCAACATTATATCCCATTAGAGACTGTTCAAATTCTAGACTAGTCATTTCTTACGAATTAAAACAAACAATTAATGACCTATACATAGAAGAGGATGAAAAAATGGTTAGCTTCAATGTAACAAGTCTTTATACTAAAATACCAATCAATATAATATTGGAAGCAGTCAGAAATCAACTAAATACTGACTCAATTTATTCACAGAACTAAGATATCGGTTGATAAGATCATATCAAGCGTACAGTTGTGTTTGACCTTCAGAGTCTTTAAGTTTCCGGAAAAAATATTTAAACAAACAGAAGAAGTACCAAGACGATTACCAATATTCCTAATCGTAGCAGATATATTTATGGATAGTTGAGAAAACATGACTTTGTGAAAGTATAATCCATCACCTGAGATATGATGGTGATATGTGGATGACACATTCATCCGGTTGAAATCGAAACATCAACACTTTCCTCACACACATATAACATCAATAGTAGGGGGAATCCAATTCAATTTCGAGGAGGAAAATAAACAAGGAGAATTAGCTATGTTGAGTGAGGGACAGAGTGTGGTTTGGATACTGACATGTAGAGGAGACCGACACATTCCAACAGGTATCTAGACTTCAAGTCATCTCATCCAACGTCAATGTTAAGACAGATTTAGTCAAATGTTTATATGTCTAGAGAAGTGACTAGTCAGTGCAAGGACTCAAACAAGGAATTGAAAGACATAATTAATATTTATCCTCCATAGCTTACCAATGAATCCATACAAACACACAGGAAACGGAGCCATAACAATAACAATAAGATGAGTAGAACTGATAACAACAACATGAGTATGAGGGAGTTCACAGACAACATTGTGTAATCCTATGAGGTGGGAACATGCGAAACTGTATGTATGTAGGATTTTCAACAAGGTTGGAATTATGGTGGTATTCAAACGTACAAATTCACTCAGAGATAAACTTTGTCAGCTGGCCTAAATATCCGATTGATTCAATTCACCAAAATAATCTAAACTACCAACTCCCATGGAATGATTGTGAGGTCAAGTAAATCGGTGGAGTTAGCTGTTCGGGATGAGTTAGAATAGTGGAACATAGGAATTCAGCTGAAGGAGGTGAATGAGATGGATACTGTAGAAAAGTACTCGGTTATTGTAATGCATGTATTGACACACAATCACATAATAGAGTGAGATAAAATGCGTATACAGTACTTAAGTCGAATATGATTAGGTGGACAGAGGGAGAGAGAGAGACTGATTACTGAATCTTTGTTCATCGAATCAACACGGAACACATGTGGTAGGAATGCGAGAAGACTAGTACCAGACAGAGAAATGGTAAATTTTACAATAACGAATGAGATTAACTAATATGAGGTGGTTGGATTACGAACATCAAATGTTGAAATTTGTGTGGTTACATCGATATGATCATGAGGAATAATTTATGTTTGGAACATCGTCAAGTAAATGTTGTTTGCTGGATGTCAAATAAACAAATCTAATGTGGGATGCTATTTTATGCCAGTGAAATGATTTGTACTCACAAGAAAGAATATCTTAACGAAGAGTGAAGTAGAAGAGTAGTTATCTCCTAAAGTATTCAGTGTAAAACAGCATACTATCTTCTGGTTATATAAAGGCAATAGGATTATTTTTTCATTTAAATATCTAGGTTATGAAGACGTCAAGTGAGGAGACAAATCTATTCCTCATCTAATATTAGCAATAATAATGTGATCCTCTGTAACATATAAGTAACACAGTTGCAATATCGAGCAGTATGATCCCTCAGTTTTACTGATTAGTAATATTGTAAACAGATATAAGGGATAAAATGAAAGCAGAATATCAAACAGTTGACAACCTTTTCAAAGGATAAGATGATTCTGAGTGAAATTTCTACAAATTACTTAGATGGTTATATCTAATTTCCCCTTCTGTTTTGAACACGGAAATCAAGTTTAAATCATCTGATGATGACAGTTTTATAAATCTTGAGCATAAATGTGTTCTTTTATCTATCTACTTATGGGAAGGACACAGTTGTATCAAGTAAGCGCATTTTATCACTCGCATGACACGTCTAATGTCACACAAACTTGAAGATCTACAGGCAAAAACTAACAAGAGGCAGCGAAGACGGGACACCATTCAAGTGAACGTAGAGAAGACATAGGTGATAAGGATACTCAACCAACAACACCACCACCAACATCAACAAGCTGCAATCACCATCAACGGGGAAAACTTAAAGGAAGTAACCTTTTTCACCTATCTAG